GTCTTAAATTTTGTGAATTGTGGGCTATTACCTTCCTAACAGCAGCTTTACATTTCTGTCGTTTTTTATGCTCTTGACCTGCGCAACTTGTTTTAAAAGACTTTAAAGGGCTATTTCACGTTATCTTCAAGCCTGAGTGCACATGTACGTATACCTTTCATCAGTGAAAGCTGCCACTGTTGATAATTCCAAAAATCACAAATTACTTGTTTCATAGTTGGTGCCTTCTCTTTTCTTCCATGTTCGACCAATTTATGCATTTGAAAGAGCTGTTTAAGTTTCCCCATGCTACAAGCTTTGTACCTTTTACCAACTGCACATATATGCAGGTTCTCTGAGCGTCGCTTCAAATAGTGACTGTGACATGACTGCAGAAGCTGCACTGAAAGGTGCGGATGAGCTTCAGTTTGTGTTATTTTAAGCCTCTTACTGATACATTGTCGTAATTTCATTTCTTCAGGACCTGCGGTAGAGGCTTCAAAAAGCGGCTCCCACACATTGAGGTGCCCCGATGAACAGGGTGCGTTCAGTGTCGCGATTTCTTTTTTTTTTACCGAAATTGACTGTTGACCAAACCTCTGCAGGTGGCAGCTCCCTTGTAGCTGGTGAAAGAATTTCCGCTGACTTCGTCTTGCCAGAGAAAACCTTAACCAGTCATTCAGCTGTCACAAAAGGAACTTGTGTGACCGGTAAGTTGTATGTTCACTTCAACATCAGAGTAGATTGATATAGAGACTTCCGCAGGCCGCTCGCAAGATTGTTCCGACAGCACTGTCCGAGGCACTGAACAAGCTTCACAAAACGCTCCAGAAGACTTCTCCGCCAACAGCTCCACGCCTGAGTGCCCTAGAAAAAATGGTGACTATGCTTTTATTGCAGCTGTTTTTAATGTGCTATTTTATGTTTAGTACATTCTGAGGAAACTATCCTCAAAAGGACACTAAGTGTGCACTTACAAAATGTAAGGGTGGGCTCTCAGTGATTTTTATTTTTTTGTGCATTGTAAACATTGTGAATGGTTTGTTTTTAGGTAGTGGAATCGAAAACTTTGCACCACAGAAAGTTGTGCACCTTGGGTCTGAAAGAGCGAGGAAAGTGCTCGTATGGGATTAGTTGTTCTTCGCTTTTACATCCATTTTTTGTTTATTGCAGTGCGTTCCTGTGTGCCAGCGACAATGTCTCCATCAATGAAGTACAAGCAAACCATTAAACATCTGCAAGCCAAGTAGCAGCACAGCGGAAAACTATCAAAAGACTGCGGAGACAGCCTCACCAAGCACCGTCATCGACTTCAAAGGCCCTTGAAGTTATCCGACCGCACGTCACCGAGGAGGTTTTTAAACTTCTTTCTGCACATGTTCGCTTGAGGCCCGAACGCAAGGGCAAGCGGTTTTCCGTGTGGTTCAAGAAATTTGCTCTTCACTTAAACTTCCGAGGTCCGCGAGCATACCGATTTCTGGCTCCATATTTTTCTTTGCCCTCCCGGCGTTCCTTAAGGAGGTGGCTAGCTAATGTAAAGATGACTCCAGGCATAATTTCAGGAATCCTTTCTTCCATTGCAACGAATACTCAAGCTTGGAATGAACGGGACCGAGTGCGCGCTTTAGTTTTCGACGAAATAGCACTCAAAAAGAATTTGTACTATGATGCTGCAAGAGACGTTGTCCAGGGTTTTACAGATGATGGCACTCATCGCACTTCAACCATCGCTGATCGAGCACTGGTTTTTCTTCTTGTGGGCGTTTCGAGACAGTGGGTTCAACCGGTTGTTTTTACTATAGGGCACACATCAACACCATCATCTGTTATGCAACTTGCTGGTGTCACTCATTTTGGAGCTTAGGAGCATTAATATTGCAGTGAAAGCAGTAATTTGTGACCAGGGCAGTTCAAATGTAAGTCTCGCTAACCAACTAAGAGTGACTGTAGCAAAGCCTTTTTTTGAAGTTAATGGTGAGCGGGTATTTTACATTTTTGATGTTCCGCATTTAATTAAAACAACGCGCAATAATGTCCAAGCACACAAGTTATACATTGGGGATGACATCGTTAACTGGTCGCACATTGTAAGCCTTTACCAATCCTCACATGAGTTGCGGTTGCGATTGGCTCCAAAGTTGACTGAACGGCACGTTCATCAGAAACCTTTTTCTAATATGAAGGTCAGCAGAGCAACTCAGGTCCTCAGTGCATCAGTTTCGATTGCTATCACGGCATTGGTGTATGCGAAGGTGCTGCCTGCCTCGGCCATCACTACAGCTCAATTTTGTGATCGTATGGACAGGATTTTCGATGCCTTGAACAGCTCGAGTAAAAAAATAACTTCGCAAAAGCTGCGGCATGCAATCATGAAAAAAGATTCAGAGCTGATTGACTTCCTCCGAGGCCAGCTTTCCTGGATTGCATCATGGCAGTTTGTTGGCAGACGTCAACCACAAACCATCGTAGGTTGGCAAATTACAATTCAGGCAATTTGTCAACTATGGGACGACCTCTCCAAAAATTACAATTTTGAATACTTGTTAACACGCAGGCTTCAACAGGATCCTCTGGAGAACATATTTGGCCACATTAGGCAAAAACAGGGTTGCAACACCAACCCCAATGTAGCACAATTTATTTGTAGCCTGAAGCACATCTGCATAAGAAACCTCTTCAAGCTGTCAGAATACGGAAATGTCGAGGATGATGAATGTGACCTCCTCCAGGAGCAGCTCTCGCCATTCTCCCTCACCAGTGCGTCTCTTGTGGATAATGAGGAGTGTGCACAGCCACAGCCTGACGACTTTCCCGCTCTAGACGATCTCTCTGAACTTGCGACAAACGTTCACTCCCATATTATCGATGACTCCGCTGCATATTATGTAGCTGGTTTTCTCATCAAACACTTCCTTCGGATTGCATGTGACGGTTGCAGTTGCCCACAGTTACTGACTGACGACAGTAAGACGCTTAAGGGTACCCACCAGTATTTCACAATGCTCAAAGCATACCACGTCCCCAGCAAACTTTTTGGGAATCTCACTGTGCCATCAGAAGCAGCTTTTGCATACGTACAACAACTTGAATCTCACTTTCTTGCCATAGTTGAGGCCACTGCACATCACCTGAAAGTGTGCGATATTTTGTATCACCATCTGTCAAGTGTTGGCGATTTTCATTTCTGCTCTGTTGGGTGTCGCGCGAAGTTTCTGAAAATGTTTTGCCGGGTTCGTTTATGTTGGCATGTGCGTTTTGTGAACCGAAACTTAGATAGGGTTAGGTTCCAGTCTTCAATCTCAGGCATACAGCTTGACAAGTTCAAAGGTTAGCAATTAGCGGCGGGTTTACACTAAAGTATTCGAGTTGAGCCGAATCCTGCAATAGCTTTGTTATGTTATTACTTCATTACAGCAGACTTCATTATGGTCTTATATGCTTATATTCAGCTCAACTGGACTAGCCACTCCTTCGTTGCATACATTGTTTAGGTTACCCGCTATGAGAAGTAGGGACACTGTGTATTCGCTCGAAGTGATTTGCATAACCTTAAAAAGAATGTTGGGTATCCTGTCTGTATTTTTGTAGCAAATGCGGGCGAACTGTACACTTTACTGTGGCTCGCTTGGTCACTGTGTATGCTTTATCTCTCCAGCTCAAGTAATATATCGATAACAAAACCGCTTGTTGAAATGTCTTCGAGCGGGTAAGGAACACAGTATGAAGTGGGCACGGTTCACGTTATCACGCTTTTCGTATTTTAGCTTCTCATCAACCTCCTCATCTCGCCCATCAAAATTTTCAAAAGAATACTCAAACTTGTAGCGTTTGATGGGGCTGCGGACGCTGCCATTTTATTTTTATATAGCTTTTGAGTGATAACGTACGATGTAGAGCCTTTGTGAAAAATAATGAGCCAAAGTGGTTTCCTTCTGCTATTTATTAGCCCTGTAATACCGCTCTCGTAGCACCAATTAAGGTCCACAATTCTGGATAAGTGATGACTACAATTTATTTTAGCTTGCAAGCGTCACAGCAACACCCACACGCAAATCACTTGGGATCTTAAGTTTTTGATGAAGGCGACGCATAACAAAAGCCACAAAACCTGCCAGTGTTGTAGCATAAAGTTTGTCTTTCACGTAGTGAGCAAGCTGCAAAGCCCTACCTTTCTGAGGACAAGCAGGCATCAAGTCTCCTTTTTTCATTTTGGACTAGCTGTTCTTAAGAGCACACTGCGCCTTTGCCTTTCTGCTATATTGTGTCGTGTGGTTTCTGTGTGCTCTTTTTTTATATGCATTATTTCGGTTAACCCCAGGCGTGATTCGCGACTTCATTGCTGTGTATATGTCACTTCTTCCTTCTTCATCAGCATTGTGCGCTGTGTTTTTGCCATAGATCCTTACTTACCCACTGGCCCGGTGTGTCATACTTCACCAGCTTCTCGGCTTCTGGCAACTCTAGCGATGTGTGCGTTGTCTGTGTTCTCTCTGTATTTGTTCCAATTTATTTGTAAGGCGAGATGCATTTGTTGTCTACCTTTGTCATATTGTGCTTTTTATATTCTCAGACTCTACCTCGCCTTTGAATAAAACATTACGGATACTCTGTCTCGTTGACTGATATATACATTGATCACTCGTTCCAAAAGAAAAACACAAGCGCGATGAATAAAACCGTAGTGAATTATCATTACCTGCATCTCTTTTTATTATAACTTAATCGAAATAAAAATTACGTCACGTCCGATTCGCACGAACCACTAAACAAAACAGGGAATCGCTAAATCAAAACGACCTACAAAAACTATCCATTTGGGCGATGAATAGTGGTCTGAAATCATGAACTTTCGTCATAGCCAAACGTCGGTTATGCAAAGTAATTCAAAATTTGCGCCAGTGAAACCGAAACAGGAAGCGCACGCCACTTGCTCTCACCAACCACTAGGTGTGCTAGGGTCGATTGGGCCGCTGGGGTCTACGGGAGTGTCCACTCTTAACCTTTATTTCTCTATGTGCTCACGCCTGTATGTGGCGCAGGCACTGTGGTGATTTTCGTTTCGCGATTAGTAGTTCTGCGCGTGTGAGTCTTCGGCTGGCTGACTGTCTTTCGATTTCTTCTCACCGAAACCGTCGACCGAGCGCGCTGGGCGCTCAGAGAGTAGCAATGGGCAAACACGATCCGGTGCCTTGCTCGGTCGTCGGGTGTAAACCAAGCGACAGAAAAGGCGTCATGACCCGGCATAAGTTGCCCCGAGGTGAAGCCATGCGGTCTGCTTGGCTGAAGCTCATTGGCCTGCCACCCACCGATGCGCGGAAAAACATTCGCGTTTGCGGTCGGCACTTTGCACGTTGTGCCTTCCTTTATGATCCAGAACTGATTAAGGGAATGGGCGTCGGCTGGACATGTTTACGCTTGAAACCAACTGCCCTGCCGACGTTGTTCCTTCCTGCCGGGAAGGTAAACGGCACATTTCACGTTCTTTTGCTATTTCTGTTGCAATTCGATGAAAAGTAGGAACTGTAGTCATAGGTAAGATAATGTAATTTTGCCCAAATTTAGGCACGTATGCCGTAGTATGTGCGGTGATACAGCTGTGCTTAAATGTCGCCCGCTTGAAGGCAACATTATTCGTATTAGTGGAGCAGGTGAAGCTATTCCTGCATGCAGACGTCGGAAGCCCCTAGAGTAGCAGCAGGTACTTAATATACATTTTGAGAAAAATAAAAAAAAGTTTCATTATCATTTGACACTTCATTTTAATTAAACACATTCGAAAGTGTGTAATGTTAAATCATGTTATTTAAGTATATCATGTTGTGTGGTGTTAAATCATGTTACTTCAGGAAAACTGCGAATAAAAGTATGTTAGCATTACGTTTGTTTCCTCTGCTTGTGTGTGGTTCAGTGAACTCTCGCTTGTACAAACACCGGTTTAATGAATGTTTCAGAATAACAAAGTTTTAGAAAATCCCTGGCCGTCTCTTCATGCATTCTATGGAAAAATATTTTACCTTTACCTGCGGACTCGTGCTCACATTTGAGATCACTTAAAGAAGTTTCATGCTCTGTAGCACTTAAATTACCTATCTATCAGCGACGGTGCAAGCAATGCTTGCACATACAGCACTGCCAAGGCAAAGCAGCCGTGGTTCGTGCTCTGTAGCACTTAAATGCCCCCACTATCGGTGACAGTGCAAGCAACGCTTGTACATACAGCACTGCTGAGGCAAAGCGGCTGTGCGGGAGATTAAAATGAACCATGTGTGCTTCAGTATCGGAAGTGCTATTTCTGAATTTTTTTCAGTGTTTGTCCGAAACCGAAAGAAGAGTTCGACAATGAAGTTGTAATGGCAGAGGCAAGTTCAAGTCTTAAATTTGTAGCTGAGGCGGTGGGATACATTTGAAATTTGCAAGACTTCATGTCACAGCCACGAACTGCGAAAAACGTAGACTCTCTGTACAGCTTCGTCTTTTTTCCCACTTTAAGAGTGCTAGTCCAAATGAAAATAGCAAAAATCCTTTCAAAATATATTGCATTTCACTGGCTTGATTTCTGCTGTGCCCCATGCTGTTCTGCATTCTAGAGAACAATCGGTTATGTGAACTATTTCCACACGTCCCTTGAGGTTCACTCAATGGAGAGTTCATGAGAGTTGCAATATGGGCTTGTTGGTTATGCATTTGAAAGGATGTGATGTAGTGCAAAGCAAAACACAATTATTATTATTATTATTATTATCATTATTAGATTTGCATACACAAGGACACAGAGAAAAGTGGGAGAGAGCAAGCTGGAAACTGCCACCTTGAGGGACACAACGCCTGCTCACTCTTTCGGGAGGAGGGAAGAAACAGAGGAAACAAAGATTATAGGGGAGAAAGAGGAAAGAAGATGGGGAAGGGAAAAAAATGACGAAGACTTGGCACATATAGAAACCACACATAGCATCCACATGTGTCTTCTGGTGTCTGGGTTTCCCTTTGCGCAACATCAAATTCTTTCAAAGGAGACAGTGTTTTTTTAGCTAATTTGCAATTGTGTGATTTCAATAATCAGAACTGCATGATGTGTTTAATGAACTCTAGAAATTAAAATTGCAGAGATTCAATTTTTTTCATCACATGTGAAACAAGGTATATTGCTGGGATAGTTCACGACATGTTACATTGTATAAAGCCATAGCAAAGATTTTATCGAAGGGGGGTGGCCTGACTCTCTATATACACACGTTTTTTTGTGTAAGTAAAATGTTCACACATAAAGTAACGATAACAGAGGGATTGAAGAGCTGTAGTGATGGCTGTATTGTCATGCTGGTGTTTAAAAATCAGCAGTTTGAAGTCGACAGCTGAGTATAGTGGGCTTGCTCAATAAAACAAGCAGCGTTCTGCAGTTAATTTTTCATTGCAGTGAGATGTGACAATGTTTTAGCAGTGGTCTTCCATGTTACATTGGCATATACTCTCATAGCATGCCACTTATCGTTAGGGCACCAGTTAAGCTGCATCTTGTGACACATGGGCTGGCAGTTCATACAAAGGGAGTAGGACATTCTCAGAAACTCTGAAAAGTGTGGGATTGGGAGTGATAGTACTATTACGAATCTTTAACAGTGCAAAAGATGCAAAGAGATACAAAAAAGGACACAGTGTCCTCTTTTGTCCTCTCATGTCTTTTGCGCGGACATTAATCCGTGAACGAAAACTCAGTGTTAGGGCCTGTCAGTTACAACCATATGCAGCTGGCATGAAAGCTTAAGACCCATTCTTTGAGTTTTTTTTGATTCGATGCTAAATCTCAATTAAAGCTGTGTGCAGTTCTAAGTGTACAATTTTATAGGGTCAGATATGCAGATGCAGACGGCCTGCTGCTGTGTACGCTGTTGGAACTCAAAAGGCGGCCGTTACTACCTCGGCTGCTGCTACGGAAACCTCACACAAGAAGGGGCAGAACAGAAATACTGGTAAGTCTGCACTGCCATGCATGGATGTTTTTAATGAGCACTTGTATTTCCTCTCTCATTTTATCTATCTACTTTTCTCCTCCATTTACATCGAATTTCCTGGTTAATCTTGTGTAAGGGAGTTCCCTAGGTATATTAGATGAAGTTACAGTCTGACTGTGCAGGTGCATAGGATGACAACATTCCTACTAACCAAATGTGGGACACACCGATAAGCAGGGTGGAGGAGGAGGGGCAGCACGATGAGAAGCGAAGTTTGATAATTTCTTTTACATCTTCTTGAGGGACGTTTTCTGTGGCTTTATATTGTCGCATATGAAACAGGGAAATGAACTAATAGATAAGCTTAAGTACATCTACTATGTGTAAAAAACTATTTCATGCATTATGGTAACATGCTCTCACATGAAGCAGACATTGGCGTCCACATAAAAGTTTGGCCACTACAACAATAGTCACTTAGAAAGCAGCTGTAGTCCAGTTCCCACGTTCTTGAACGTTCTTGAATTTTCTTGAACTTTCTTGAAATGCTTTCATTTTTTTCCTTGTTAGACTTAACTGCTTATATGGCTTGATATGATTGTATGAACTGGTAGGACTCCTGGCTGATTTGCTTCTAACTTGTCTCGACACATATTTTGGCCTCGATCAGGTCTACGCTGCATTGGCTTCACTTACTGCTCCTGGCTCTTGCTATAAGTAAAAATGGTGGCTGTGTAAAGGCAATAGTCAGTGGAAGGCTCAGCACAACCAACAGTGTTACAGTTAGAAGCCCTCGTTGCTGCCATGCACAGTATGGCCAATTTACTTTTTCAGACGCCTACAGTGCTTGCATCTAATGCTGATGCAGTGAAGCTCAAGGTGCTGCCAGACGGCAAGAATAATGTGTCAGAAGTGAGATACTTTTTTAGATTTTCTTATCTCTTTCAGGATAAGCGAAATAACATTTAGTGCGGGACAGTCCAGTGAATTGTGAAGCGGCTGGTCACATCTAATACTGCTGGCATATTACACCTCAGATACTGCAGTGTCCCCTTGTTTGGCCTCTTTTTCTGCCAAATAAGAGTTTTTACTTACTGTGTGAACATCGCTTTTTCTCTATTTCTTGGTCTTCATCCTTAGGAGACGGTGCGCTGTAATTAAATCATTAGAGTTTGCACCAGATCTGAATAAATCTTCCTGTGTTTTCAAGTAGTTCATGCAAGGGAGTGAAATGCCAGCCCTGCATGGAACACACTGCTCAGTTGCAGCGATGCGAGAGGAGAGGTCTTTCTAGAGCATTGTCCGGGGGTGACTATGACAAGTTCAGTTCATAAGCAACTTTTCTTGATATTATTGTGGAAGCAACAGATCTGAAGCTCATGTTCGGTACTGAACCAGGAAATGGCACTGAAGTTTACTCATAATCTTTTCTTTGGCCTTGCTGAAATAAGTGTTGCTTTATTTACTCTCAGGCTCAAACTATTGCGAGAAGAATATAACTTACCTCAAATCATACTGATGACTGGGCGAGTTGGTGCAGGGTAAAGTGATATTGCTTTAGCGCAGCTCGGTTTGAGCGTGAAGAAAAGATGCTATACAGTCAAGAAGGGGAAAAAACAGACGACTGTGTGAGTGCTGCACGCTGTGTGTTTTTTTTGCCTTCTTGACTGTATAGCATCTTTTCTTCACGCTTAAACCGAGCTGCCTTAAAGCAATATCACTTAGCACTCACACTGTTGTCTGTCTTTTCCCATTCTTGACTGTATAGCATCTTTTCTTCGCACTGTAACCGTGCTGCGCTATAGCAATATCACTGGATTGAGGCATACGTTTTACACAGTATTGTCACAGACCTGAAAAATGCATTTTGCAGTGACTCTGGCATCCTCGTCTGCAATCGTCTGCTCCACATTATAAACATGACTAACGAGCTTTACTCCTTTAGTTAGATTCACTTTTCAGAAGTGCTTGTTCAGCTAAGAAATTTTTCGAAGCCACAATACCTGCGGTATGTGTAAGGTGACTTGTATCTCGAACGTACTGCGCGCGCTCTACATGAGTACATAAGCAAGTGGCAGTGTGTTGGTGGGAAGGAAAAACGCGCGAAATGCATTCTTGATTTCTATTTTTCTACCAGAAATGGCGCTGCCTGTCGAGAGAGTCAGCGCCACCATGTGTTGCTTTGCCTCCCTATGAGTGGGTGGTTTAATGTTTCTCATCCACTACAAAATGCTGAGCCATAATTCTTTTTCATCAGCCACATGCAGCATCACCTATAAAATCCTACATGTGTGTATCAGGTGCCTCGCTTATCTGCAGAAAAACAAATAATGGTGTATTGAGCCAGTCGGCTTTTCCACGAGCTATTCGTCTGTGGAATGATTTGCCAGATGATCTTGTGTCAGAGCAAGACGACACAAAGTTCTGTCATACCCTTAAAAAGCACTTATGCACCGAAAACTGCTGTATCGCGTCTTCATAATCATCAGGGCCTATAGGACTGTTGCCGGTAGGTTTTTTTTATCCTCCTTTCTCCTGGTTTTTTTTCCCAATCTGTAATTTTATTTACAGTGAACTCTTTTGTCAGTGTTTTTTTTTTCCACTATTGCTAGGTTGTAGTTACTGTCAAAATATTTTTATGTATTTTACCTTCACCCCTCCACATATTGTAACTCACTTTTCTAGTATGTATTGTGCTTACATGTTCATAAGTTAAATTCCATTTTCTATTGTAATCAATATTTGCCTATCTGTATATTGTTACACAACATCATCAACGAGAGCATCAGGTAGATGACGAAGACGATGAAAGCGACCGTGCTCCTGTTGTTGTTGCTGTTGTACCTTCATCTTGGCTGCAGCTGCCTTTGGCTCTCGCTGTATATTTTGTAAATATATTTATTTCATTCATTCTCTCACCCCCGTGACATTTGGTGGAGGTGCGGGGTACAACACGATATAACAGAGCTCCGCAGTGGCCGACGCTTGGATTTTAACACCATGGCAAACCAGGGACCCGCTCCCGCCGAGGCTACTACAACAACTGTTGTCCTTCCGCAGCTAATAGATCCTGGCACGTTCTGTGGCACTGATGATGTCGACATTTAAGAATGGTTGCTGTTGTACGAACGTACAAGTAACAATTACCGCTGGGATCAAACTCTTATGTTAGCCAACATTCCGTTCTACTTGAAAGGAACAGCAAAAGTGTGGTTAAAGAACCACGAAGATGAAATTGGAAGTTGCGATGCGTGCAAAGAAAAGATGTGCGCCCTTTTCGGCAAGTTTGGGGCTAGAAAGGCAACGACCAAAAAGGAGTTGGCATCTCGTGCGCAAACGTTAGTAGAGTCCTACGTGACTTACATACAGGACGTGCTCGCCCTTTGCCGAAAAGCAGACAATAGCATAGAAGAAACTGAGAAAGTAGCCCACATATTGAAAGGCATTGCAGATGATGTGTTCAACCTTCTCATATGCAAGGACTGCAACACGGTCGATGCCATCATCAAGGAGTGCCAGCGTTTTGAGGCCGCGAAAAGTCGACGTATCGCCCATAACTTCGTTCGACTACCAAACACAGCAGCAACCTGGTCATGCGAAGACGGGCCTGCACTACAGACGCCGTTAACTGCAGAGCACGTGACCAAGATCATCAGACGTGAACTTGAAGCTCTGTCTCCTGCATCCGTGGGCTCCCATGCCTGTGACTCTAGCCCTCAGATGGTGCCACTGGTACATGCCATTGTGCGACAAGAGCTTTCCAATGCTGAACTGGCCTCCGAGTGCACTACAGCTCCCTCTCAGCCGATCGACCGTCGTCAACCCCCTGTTTCGTATGCCCAAAGCCAAAACCTTCTGGCGCGCCCTCGCAATCCATCCGAGTGGAGGACTGCTGACGATCGCCCGATTTGTTTCAACTGCCACCGTATCGGACACGTGGCCCACCATTGTAACACTCAGTGGTATTGGCATCAGGCATCCTATGGGTACACCCATCGGCTAGAGAGGGATCATGGACGCTTTCAAACTTACCGGGAGTCACCTCAGGCCACCATTGAAGACGGTCCTTGAAGACGGTCCTTTTGTGCCGCCATATCGTCGTCGCTCTCCATCTCCGCATGCTCACCAGTCTTGTTCACCGCTCTCCCGCCGTCTCGCTCGCCCCAGTTTCGCCGACCAATGTCGCCGACTGACCACCTGCCGTGGGAAAACTAGATGATGCAGCTCCCGGAGGTGATGCTGCATCGACCACTTGCCTGCCAAATCCTCTGACTATGCTGCTGACTCGACGCAACCTTATTGACGTTGAAGTAGATGACACGCCCGTTGTTGCCTTTGTGGACACAGGGGCTCACATATCAGTGATGAATTCAGAACTTGCCACCTTAGGAAAGTTTTAATGCCACCCACAGTACCACTCATCCAGGTCGCCAACGGTGGCACGTTTCCCGCGCTTGGAATGTGCTCCGCGCGTATAAGTGTTGCTGATCGCTTCACGACAGTGCTATTTGCTGTGCTCGAGAAATGTTCCCATGAACTTATCCTCGGCATGGACTTTTTATCCGCCCACTCTGTCCTTATTGGTTGTAGAACTGGCATGCTTCAACTTGATTTACCGTGCTACCATGACGACCCAACACCAGCTCAACCATGTCTATGTTATGCAGATCACGTTCGCCTAGCTCCTCAAGCCATTACTTACGTGAACCTGAGATCTGCCCCTGTTCCCGATGGTGACTACATGTTGACACCTATTGCTGACGTTCTGCTGGCCAAAAATGTTGCCGTGCCTCACACACGTTTGACAGTCACGGTAAATGCAGCATCCTTTCCGATCCTAAACGTCAGCTGGTACGCTCAAGTTATCCCAGACAGTATGACTTTGGCAAAAGTTTCTTCTATAGATGCTGCCATTTCCGCGTTCTTTGCCGAATCTTCTTCGTCCTCTCCTTCGTTCTGCTCCTCGAAGAGTGCAGCGTATGCCACCATCGACAAGATGATCACCCCTGACCTTTTTC